AAGTAAAGAGGATTGATGTAGTACATAATCATGATTAACAGTTCCTACTACAATTGTGATTTATCTTTTCTAGTTCTAATAGGTTTTATCTTTTTATTCTTATTTCTTGTTTAGAATATGATTTCTTTTCTTTTTTTAATTAGAATATGGTTTCTAATTAGATTAGAATTTTAGTTTATTTCCTTTTAAAATTTAGTTTCCTTATATTAATAGGATTAAGGAATAGTTTTGCCTATAAATACAAAGGCATTGTACATTTTTCAACAATAATGAATTGTTATTCAACATATAATAGACATGATTGTTCAAATATCATTCTTATTTATTACATAATTCTTATTACAAGAATTTCATAAACGCTTCTACACCAGTTTAAGAATGTGAGAGAACAAGGACAACTAACTTCCTCATATGGAGTTTTACTCGTATCATCGTCTTTATGATTTTTGTATTGGTGATGATTGAATAGGTAAGGAAGTCAATGTGTCGAATCAAGCACATACTAGTGGAGAGAGCCATTGAAGAAGCAGATGCTAAAAGTCCGCTGAGATGAGAAGGATGATCAATGCAATATGGTTTTCAACTTCTTTGGTGATCCTATCTTGTTCTTCTTTTCTTTCTGTAAGGTTTGATCTTGGGGCGTGGTATTGATGCCGTATGCATTTTGAATAGTCACTGGTTAAGATTCTAAGATTTCTTTAATCAACATTTTGTAGTCAAATTTTTGTGAAACTATGCAACATTTTGTAAATAAGAATTTGAAGAGACATTTGAGTTATGTAGGATATATTTATCTGAATGTAGCGTAGAAAGATGTGCAACAAACCTCCTCCGTGGCTCGAACACGTCTACTCCAAATGGCACGTTTGGCCAAGAAAGAGGATTTGATGGTACTCAACATCTATCACCAATCCCTTTTTGACGAAATCTAAAAAAATTTCTTTGTTCCTAATGACGTGTGGCGCCGAAGGATTTAGCCTGTCTGGCATACGTTTATGAATTATTTATAAATACTACTTTTTATTCACAAATTTCGAAGAATTCACAAGCACTATTTATTTGTCCATAACTCATTTATATTTATTTATAATTTAAACGATTTATGAACACTTTCAAACATTGTACTTTTTTTACGTATGATAAACTAATAGATCCAAGTTAGATTGAACCTCATCGAAAGCAATTTTTTCACTTTTTTTCCACTAGTTTACGCTGAAGTTGTGATTGACCAACACTCCCTGAACATCTGTTTCGCCGTTACAAACATGATGATATGAGTTGGTTTTGCTCTTTATAATGTACCCTAAAAAAAAAAAAAAAGAGAGGCTCACACATGGACAACAGACGCGGCGGTGGGCAAAAGCTCGATGTCGATGGCGTCAAGTCACAACTTATGCACCACTGTCCCTTTAACATCAACCAAAAAAAAATGTAAAACGAAGTTTAAATCTAGACATGTAACGTCCTGAAAATTTTATAGAATAAAATTATATATATATATTTATTTATTTAAAAATGAGGATTAAAATGAAATAGGTTTTAAAAATCAATTTTATTTTTGGGTCATATAATTAGATTTTGATAGAGCGAGTTTTAGTATATCAATATTTGACTCTTTTTGTAACTCGTAATTAATTAGAAATTTTCGACTTGAGCAAAAAGTTGTTTTGAATAAGAACACATTAAGTTAGACCCAATTGAAAGAAAACAAGGATAAATAGAATTTTAAATAATTTATAACCCAATTCAATTTCTTTCTCTTGGCAACGTGTGTGTGAAATGATAAAGTTTGATTTTGATAATGATAATTTTCTTTTTGATTTGATACCGTTTAATAGTAATCATAATTCTATTATTTGCAATCAATTCTCATCCAAATTACTTATATTACATCGTTTTTCAATTCTAATTGCATACAAACTCAATTGAGAATTTCAACTATAAATACTGTAGAAATTCTCATTATTTCACTACAGAAAATAAAGAGAGCCACGGTAGAGAGAGAAGGAGAGGAAAAACTTAGAAAAATAATGGTAGAACTTTTACGTGCAAGATTTTATTCTTTTCAACCTTTCAAAATTAATGTAAGATACTTTTGTACAAGTAATTTGTTTACTTATACTTTTATATCTAGTAATATATGCACAAATTGTCGAGGGACCTTCGGATTCTTTATTAAAAGATAAGAGATCCTTCAAGAATTTAAGATGACATAAGAAAGATGTGTCACTTGGTTACCGATATACTCCATAAGAGAAGAGTGGCATGAAATACCTAATTTATTGTTATATGTTTGTGTATGAAAACTGCACGTATTTTACTGGTATTTTTAAATACTCACTATTATAAAATTTTACTAGTTAGTTCGGGGTTGATTGAAACTGTGGCGGGATGGTGATGCAGTCTGCCAAGAGGATTTGAATAAATAAAAATATTAAGTTTTTTTTTTTTTCGATCTTCAATTTATTAATTAGTTTTATTTGTTCAAAGACATATCATTTAATTAGTGCTTATGTTATTTTCTTAAAAATACAAGTTTCATGTTTAGTTTAAAATTATGGATGCATCAAGTTATTTTTTTGGTTCGTGCATTTCACCTTCGTAAGGTTTTTGCAAAATTCAATTGAGGGCACAAATGGGGGTTGGGGTACAATACAAAGTTGGATAAATTATTGGGCCTAATTAAAAAAAAAAAAGGGAAAAATACATAATTCCTAATTTTAAAGTTTACATTTCATAAATAACAAACTTATTAAAATATTTCAAAAATTAGGTGGTAAATAAATTTATTAAATATTAAAATATAATATAATATACATTAATTATTTACACCCCATGACACCTCACCCACCCCACAACACCACCTTCCCTCCATCTCCAGCACCTGCTTCGACGACGGTTGCTCCGATGACTTCTCTAGTGACTGTCTCGGTGACCGCTCAGGCATTTCAAAATTTTCAGAAAATTAAAAATTAGAAATCACACCCCCAACCCATGTATCCACCTACCACCACCCCACCCCTGCCTCCACCGCCTAAAAAAATTATCGGGAAAAAAATTTGTGTTCGGTGTGACTGTATGTGACTAATTGTGATCAAATGTGTATCCAATGTGACTAACTGTGACCAAATTTGTGTTGAATGTGATTGTCTTTGACCAGGTAAATCTCAAGTCACAATCGGTCACAATCAACACACAATCGGTCACAATCAAACGATAAAAAAAGCAAGCGACATTGTGTTTACTGTCCATCCCAACATATAGAAATTTTAAACTCGATATCACTACCAACAGAGTCGAACTAAAGAAATAATTCGCAAGAGGAAAAAAAAAGCCTTGATAAGATCCAAAAAAGGGGAAAAACAGATGAAATTAATAGAAACATCAATATCAAGCTAAGTAACTAGAAATCAAGTTTATGTTTGACTCCAAAATGAAGCAGCATGTGAAGTAAACCATACAGGAAAAGTCATTTGGACACAAAAATATACTCGCACTTTTAAATAAGTGAAAACTATACTTTGGTGTCAGATTTTCCCTACTGTTTAGACCCACTCCTTGCAACCTTCGACACTCACCTCATGTCGGACCTTCGTTTACGATTTTTCACCAGCCAACACGCCTTCCTCCACCTTTGCAATGCCTTCCCCAGACGAATTCTTTGCCTTCATCTCCGTAAACTCCTCTATATAACTATCCATCAAACCACTTTTCTTAAACTACCAAACCACAAACATAAAATCTCAACTTATTTTACCTCCAGATGGCGAAAATATATCCTTCTAATCCACTAAATCTAATGCTTCGAAATTTCAGCAACTTTATTGGTTTAGTTTACCTAATCCACTGTATATACTACTTTTGGAAAAGCAGTTGATGAAGACTGGGCTTGACTATGGAGCCTCCGAGATCAAATGAATCAACAAAGAGAAATATACTGAGATTGCCAGAGAAGATTGGTATTTTTGAAGATGGTGATTGATTATGGAAGCAAAATAAAGGAAGAGTCGAGGAGCGGTCGTTACCGTCGTGCCAATGCTTGATGACGACGAGGAGAGGAGAGAGATGAACGGCGTCATCATAGCGACAAATGGCGAACGCTGCTTTGACGATGAGGATCCGCCGATCCGCCACCATCACCGTGACCAACCACCCATCACAAGATTGACACCACCGCCACCGTCCCTCTGCGTTGTCGGTAGAGAGAGAATGAGAGAGAGGGTCGGAGAGGGGGAGAGGGTTTTCCGGGTTTGGGAATGAATGGGGATGGGGGTGGTATGTAGATTTAAATTTTATTAATTACAATTAATAATCATAGTTATCACCTGAATTTTGAAATTTAAACCTTCTCCCCTTATTTTTGAAATGTTAACTTAAAAACTAGGGTTTAAGGTAATTTTCTCTAACATTTATACACAGTTAATTACATATGTCGGNAAAAAAAAAAAAAAAGCCCTAAACTAAAGGCTTAGAATTGGGAAAAAAAGAAAAAAAAGCATTTCCTCATTCCATAATCCATATCAAGCTTCCGTGCAGGCGATCGGCGGCAACAATGGCAATCGACATCCAACCAACATGTAAGTTTCGGGGAGCCAGCACGGACGACTGCGCCACCTCGTCAAGTGCGGGCTCTGCCGGTGAATGTACTTTAAAATGACAGTCAAATATTTAATCATATTTTTACAATATTATTTACTTTGCTTATTAACAATACAATGAGTAGATGAATCCTTTCACTTTATTCATAAAGAAAATTTTGAAGAGAAATTATAACTAGAAATAATTTATGTTAATTTGAGAACAAGAAAAAGATGAAAAAATTTGAGACATAATTCATGAATGCGATAATGTGTAATGAATATGAATTTTTTATGCAATTAAAATTTAGTTTAGTTATGAACTTCGTCTTACAGTAATTACAAGAGAACTAATCATCCAAAAGCTATAAATATCACACAAAAAACCACCCGAATAAAAGAAACACAGAAAAACGAGTAAAAATGGTAGCAATATCACTGTACAAAGGCAATCTCCATAAAATCTCGAATGTACCGCACCGATGGCCGATGCCGGCGCGAAAAATCTCTCTCCGAGACTTCAAAATTCTCTGGCGCCGCCGTATCAACGCCCTCTCACTCCTCCAGTCCACTTCCACTGACGCTGCCGATATCGCCACTACCTCAAACCCTAACCCTGGACTTGGACCTTCCGATGATGTTAAGGATAATAATAATACTAATAATAAGCGTGATTCCGGTTTTGAAGTAGAGTTAGATCGGCTGGATTTGGATGAGGGACAGATTGTGGAGAAGCGAAAGGAGGATGGGGAGGTTAGGGACGAGAAAGTATTGGAAGGTGAGGATTATTTGGGAAAATTGATTAAGGAATGTGATGCATTGGTTGAGGAGAAAAATTCACACTACATTGAAAATGAAGACAAAGCAATGGTTCCCGCGAATCCTGAACCAGAGGTATTGGTTTTATATGTTTCTTTTGTTGAAATTTCTTTCTTACTAATTTAAGGCTTTAGATTCCAAGTAATTGTATGATTGTTCCATTTAGCATTAATAAGGATAGTAGTTAGGGAATGATCGATGTAGGCTGCGTGCTTGGAAACAACATGTTTCGATAAGGTATATGGAAATTACTTTTTTTAAGGGCCTACAAGGATCGCAGTTGTACTTGTGGTTAAGAATGTGATGAGATATGTTTATTGCGCACAATATATTAGTGTGCATAAAAGGAAACTAGTTTTGTGTTGGTAACTAGTCGCCTTGCTATCTATGCATTAACAGCACTGCACATGTTATGATATCGAAAAACTGTAATGGTGGAACGGTTATAACTGAAAACGTGTGAACCTGTTAATGGAAAAGAAACTGTTAAGGAAAAGGTATGAAATTGATGTATGTTGAGGGTGGGGTGTTTCATTGTTGAGACGTTGTATTCTAAGGAGCTTGGTTGCTGGTAGATTCATTGATGGATTTAAGTCATTATTCTTACAAGGTTTGTCATGTGTTAATGTTTCATTGTTGATACGTTGTATTCTAAGGAGCTTGGTTGCTGGTAGATTCATTGATGGATTTAAGTCATTATTCTTACAAGGTTTGTCATGTGTTAACCTATCCTTTCTCCTTTAGGTCAACATCCTCTTTTCCTTTCAGCTACATAAGAAATTACGTTTTTTTGCCTGTTAATCATTTTCATTGCTCAAATCTTCTCTTTCATCCCCTTCATATTTCATTATGTTTTTCTCGTGAAGTTTTGCAGTTGTATGGAAGGCTAAATAGGAGAAACATGTGACACGTTTTGTTCGTTATCTTATTTAATTCTATGCAATCTAAAGTACTAAACACGTCGATCGTACTCATTCGGTTAATTGAAGTTTTTTGGGGCAAACCAATAAAATCCATTTCCTCCACTTGCGTATCAAAACCAATTAATAGGCTACACCTTTTAGAATCCTAGTCCTTAACAGTTTAACCAAACCCCCATCCAGTTGAAAATGACCAAAATGGCCTCAAAAGTACCTGAAAATACAATGGATTTGAGTTAAATGACTTTGCAACAAAGTCCTATTGGAGGGTACTACGTTGTTGGACAAATTCAATTACTACATTGGAAGTGTATAATTAACACAATATTAAGTGTAAACTAATTATCCAAAAGCTATAAATACGAAACAGCAAGGGAAAAGTAATACCAAAACAGTGAGAGAAAATGGCACCTACATCACAGTACAAAGGCAATCTCCAACGTCCACACCGATGGCCGATGTCAACCCACAAATTCAACATCCTCATCTGCCACTGCCTGAACGCCCTCTCTCTCCTCCATTCCACCTCCACTCCCAACGCTGATATTGTCACACCTCAAATCCTAACATTAATTTTAACTCTGGACCTGGACCTGGACCTTCCAATAATGTTAATAATAATGATGATCAGAATGACTGTAACTGTAAGTCTGGTTTGGAACTTGAGTTATGTCAACTTGATTTGGATCGAGGCCAGATCCTGGAGCAGCGAAAGGATTTGAAGGAGGGAGAAGAGGCAAAAGATGAGGAAGGCACGGAAGAGGATGGGGAGATTAGAGATGAAAAATTGTTTGAAGGTGAGTATTGTTTGGGAATATTGATAAAAGAGCCTTATGTTTTGGTTGAGGAGAAGAATGGAAACAATGTTAAAAACGAGGACATAACGAAGGTTTTAGTGAATTCTGAATCCGAGTTTTGATTTTCTGTTATGCTTTTTAAAATTTCTTTGTTACATAGGATTTCGTTTGACATTTGATTTCAAGTTATCAGAGGACTGTTTTGTTTAGCTTGTTACTTTACATTTCTTTTCAAAAATAAGCCATACAGACTCTTCAAGTCAATTAAACTCGTTAAAAAATCTTAATGTAAACTGGAGTGCAAGAGGAGTTCCTTTTCCCCTCTTTTTGAAGGCAGTGGTGGGAGAAAATTAAATGAAATCTGTAGGTTGAACCCTGCTCATCATTCACAAGTGAAATGCACAAGCTGACTTGAAGGCAGCATAGTGCTTATTATGCATGGGATAAATTGCATATTGCATTTACATGCCAGCACTTCACCACAAACTGTAAATTTTATATGGGTATGTTTTGTTTTACTGGAATGACAGCTATGTTAGAACTTCAACCAGAGGGCAGATAAAAGTAATCATTTTTTGGGTTTTTTGTTTTCCGTTATTTCATTGCTGTGACAATGTTATGTTACACTTCTTTTCCTTTTCCTTAGCAGGCTCGCAACGAAGATAATGATGTTATTTCCAAGGAGAAAAGAAAGAATGAGGTTGAGGAGAAGCTGGTACTTTTGAATGGGAAAAAGCATAGTTTAGTCCAACTGTTGAAACAGGTAAAATAATTCCCAGGAAGTTGTAAGGGAGTAGATGTTCTGGATGCCTCACCTTACTCTTAATTTTTTCATATTGATCAAGATATATTCTTGTCTACGGAATTTTGCTGATTTTTCTTGACAGATAAACTTACGTCTTCTCCTCGATTTCAGACAAAGTAGTATGCAAGGGATGGCTGGCCGGCAATTTCCTCCTCTACTAGTGGATGCCGTCAATGACTCTGGATCAATGACTAGGCTAAACACACCTAGAACGGCCTTGGATGGAAATCTTGGTGGAGATATGTATGTTAGAGAAGCTGATGATACTTGGAACCATAATGTGCGTTCTTGTAATGTGCTTCACTTGAGCAGCACCTCACCATCTTTTTACTCTCAACTGAGGAAACCTGCCTGTAGTGCGGTAACTTGTTAAGCTTTGCACACCATGATCATACTACATTGAGTTGCCCCCATATTTTCTTATACATTTTGAACTCCTTTCTGTTGTTGGAAAAATAACCGATAATATTTGTGTTGCTTTGGGGGGTTTTTAGCTAATTTTAACAAGGTTTGTGGATTATTGCAAATCTTCCAGCTCTTGAAATTATAATCGGTCAGGGCAGACATGAATATTGGGAGTACTGCCTTGGCATATGTTAGAAATTGTATCAATTATCAAATGTTTGTGTGATTGTACATGGATAATTTTGGCATGATATATTTCTTAGTGTTACATTTTTTTAATTACATGTTTAATATCTGGAACAACAAGAAGACACCATAGACGTTTAACCTAGTCATAGGTTGAATATTGTCAAACCACCTTTTCGCATATATTATTATATTGGTTGATATTGGCAACAGATTGAGCATTTTCTATAATCAATATGCTTTCATTTAGATTTAGTTTGTTTATGATCTCAAAATTAAACTTTCCTCATCTAATGAGATAAAGAAGATCATGCTTTCATTTAGTTTGTTTATGATCTAAAAATTATACTTTCCTCGTCTAATGAGATAAAGAAAATCATCTGGGATGTGTGTCCCCAAAAAATTAAGATACTAACTGAGCTTCATCATCTGGACATATTGAGATTATGATGCCTTTCAGATTAAAATTGAAGAACGTTTGTACTTATTTCTATATTCAGGACTCTTTATCCTCCAAAAATATACGTCCTTCCTTCTATGAATAAGTTTCTTTTATTTTTTATATCAAAGAAATAAAAAGGAGGCATGTAACTTGAAGCCAGATAAAGGTAGCTGGGACACAAAAGCTAGTAGCTACATGTGATTGGCACTATGGTTCAGCTATCACTTTGGATTTTAATGTCAAGGTTCTTTTAAGGATATTCAGAAAAAGGCCACTCTTCTCAAGTGTGAAACAACTGGATCTGGATCTTACTGTCGAAATATTTTTGGTAGATTTTATAATGGTTTAAATGTGGTAAGAGATGTCTATTTTTCTTAATTTAGTTATTTAACTCAGCATGGAAATTGGGAAGAACTCCCAAGCAAATACATATCTTGAGATTTGTGAATTTTTGGCCAAGGTTTCTACATTATCAAAGCTATTAAATTGGATCCTTGAGATGTAGTCATGTAGAGTGTATTCACTGCTTCAATTGATTCTGAAACAGTTCCCTCACGCTTCTCAAACTGCACTGGGAGCTGTTGGTAGTCCTTCACGCTTTGCACCCACTGGGCAGAAAGGACACTCTTCAAATCCTCCCACAGTATCTGTATCAGGAATGAACTACATTGCCTCTTCTCCCTCTCCTGCTGCATCTGGTGGTACTTCAGTGTTTAGAGATGGCTGGCTCCCAAGTCCATGTAATTAGAAGATGCTGCCTGGATATAACTTTCTCTCGGATTCCCTGTAATTTAGCTGTGTTTTTCTGAGCAGTAACATGAAGTGCTCGACTGGAACAACCTTTCGAATTGTCAGTTGCGCGCAATCCATTTCCATCATTGTATATGATTTGGTGGTTTCTATTGTGGGTATTGAATAAATCATATTGTAGCATATTTGGTACATAGTACTCGATAGAATTGGAAAGTTTAATAGACAGGATTGTAGCTCCATTTTCTTGGTAAATACGATCTGGTTTTCTCTGGTTCACCTTACCGACCATGCCACTAGCGTTTAAAGGGAAAAAACTTCAATAATGGAGGTAGGTCTGACATGGCATGTTGTTCAAACATGGAAGATATATTGTAAAATCTGTTTTGTTCTTTATTTCAACATTTGCTTTGCTGTATTAGGATGTGGTTGTTGCTAGCCTTAAATTCCTAGCCCCATTGTGGGGCCCCCAAAGCCATTTGAATTATTTGAATAAAATGCAATTCTATACTTGAATGCTGTGGTTGAATATATAGCCAATTTATCAAGGATGATATTGTGCTGTTTTTAAAGGTATGCCATGCCCCCGCAGCCAACCAGCTGGGTACGGAGTGGTAGTGGTGGGGCTTGGTGGATTTGGGTTGCTAACTTGAGCCTGCCTGTGAATGGATCGGGTGTACTGTCAGTCTGGTGTTGTTGAGGATAAAGTTTGAAGGGAATGGAGGAGTCTTGAATAGAAGAATAGGACTGTTCGGGGTGGGTGCATTGAATGGGGTCTTCAGTCTTCTGTGGTGAGATCTGCATTGGCTTGGTTAGTTGGTTCTATTGGTTCTAAAGTGTGCTGCTGGGTGTGGAGGGTAAGGGAGGTAAAGCCAAATGAGTCTTGCTATTTTTACATAGGAGATTGACAACCCCTCACAAGGGTGGGAGGTCCACTTTTTTTTTTTTTTTAAACTTGCGGACCTCGCACGCATGGGAGAGGTTGACAACCATGAGGGGGGGGGGGGGGGNGGGGGGTCCACCTTTTTTTTTTAAACATGCGGACCCCGTACGCATGTGAGAGGTTGTCAACCTCTTATGTACAATTTGAATTTTCCAATTCAAATAGTTTACCTACTGTAATTGCACAAGGCAATTGTACATACTGAATTAATACAGGTATCAGGAATTTGATTTCCATCTTTTTCAAAATACGTTTTTCTCTATTTTCTTTTCAACCACACATTTTTCAATAAAATAATATTATACGCAATCCAAATTACATTTTTTATTTTTAACCACACATTTTTCATCAATCTATTATTTCAAAATACGTTCTACCTAAAAAATGAGGCTCAAACATGTCGGATTCATCTCAACAAGTCACAATAGTTTTCTATGCTGGCTTGAAATGGTAAATTACCCCGTGACCATTGATTTACATAAACTATATTTTCAAATTACTAAAATGCCTCTCTCAAATAATTTGTTCAATTATGTCTAATCTAACGTATCAAATATATCACATAACACTTGTGCTACTTGAATATCACAACTTACACAGTTTTGTACATACACAAATGAGATGTGTTTGGTCAGAATTTCTTCAAAAAAAAAATCTCTACTCTCCTCTTGACACCCTCATCTATTTGTAAAACTATCTATAACTCCTTATATACAAGTAGTATTATTCATCACGCCATTCATTCCGCTCACCCACTCCCAAATATCACCACCCCCACCATCCAAAAGTACATGTCCTATCACTTCTCCAACCCTTGTGCAAATCACAAAAAAAGTTGCTCCCTTGATGCCCTCTAGTGGGCGCTCAAGAAACCTCAATTTGACATAAAATTTCAAGCCAACTCCCTCTCTGTTTCCTCAGTTTTGGATGCCTCTTGCCCCACTTTAACCAAGTTAAAGAGCCGAAATGAAAGAAATAAGAATTAGTCTATGTGTACACCTTGTGGTGTACACAATGTTTCACACCTCCCTCACATGGAGGGAGTCCCACAAATATTTTATTGTGTGTGGGCCCCCTTTCATGTGAGGGAGGTGTGAAACATTGTGTACACATAGCATTTTCTAAGAAATAATGTGTCTAGGGAGTTCAGCACAAGAACCAAGGTTAAGGAGAAGTTCAAAAATATTAGTGAAAGCAAGAAACCATCCAAGAAAGAACTCTCAAAAATATTATGGACTGCACAACAGCATTCTAAGAAAACATTTCGCAAAGCATCATCATCATGTGTTGAGGGGTAAAAAAAAAAAAAAATCTCCAAGGCTATTATTGTGTGAATGCAAACTATAATAGCCATATTTTTTATGGTGTCTAGTTTTTTTAAAAAAAAATTACATACAATGTAACAAAGATTAACTTACTATAACAGAAGTTAACATAAAGTGTAAGTTACAATTTAAAGAAAAATACATACACTGTGACAGGATTTAACACTATAAGCTACAGTAGCAAAATAAATAAATTAAATACAGTATAATATAACATAATTAACAAAGAATGTAATAAATTATAAAATGCAAGATTTTCAAAATTATATATATGTAAAAAAAAAAATATATACGTACATTATAACTTTACTATATTTAACAAAAAATCAATTTTTTTTCAATTCACCCTCTATTTTGCTCTATTTGTGCAATTTGCTTATACTTTATGCGGTGCTGGGCCTTCATAACCTAGATTTTATATGACTATGATCAAAGAAGAATAAATTACATGTTTGGCTAAGCATAGAAATCTTATAAATAAATAAATTAGGAAGTTTTATTTTTTTTTTCTTTTTAAAAAAACAGATTACTAATTGTAGAAGATGTATTGACCTTTTTATTAAAATAGGTAATTTTATTTGTTTTTTAATAATAATAATAATAATAATAATAATAATAATAATGTGTCACTTTCTATAGGCATTCAATTATCACTAGATTCGAGTTTATTTTCTAAACACGCCCTCCCCCTTTCCAAGATCAAATTTCTCATTGTCTATTGTTTTAAACTTAAGTTTTATTTCTGACACATTTTCGAAAATAATGTAAAATTTAACTTTTTATTTTTATTTTTAATCAAGTTCCATCTAACCTAATAACTACGTCACTAGAATTTATCCAACCAGATAGGTTATAAAATCAATCGAACAAAGTAAGTAATCTAAAAATAAGGAGACACTTGTGATAAGTGCGTTTTGTGTACTTATTTGAACCATATTACCGATCTTTTTTATGTCTTCAAAGTATTGAATTTTACTTAATTTTGGAAAATTTTTATCTTGTTTCAATTTTGGACTCGTTCACAAGCAGTTGGAAAAGAAATGTGGATGAATTGATGATTGGATGGAAGGTTTGTGACTAATGTACACATGAGAAGAAGTTGAAGGATCAAAATAGAAGTAATTTAAAGTGGTGGGTCAAAATCAAGTAAAGAATGAAGAAGATGACTAAATTGAGAATTTCGAAGGCGATTATAATTGGGCACCAGTTTGATTATATGGACTAGGTAGCCGCTTAGTGTTGGGAAACCAAAACAAAGAAAAAATGGGTGCCTGGGCGGCTGCCCGACTTTCTACTAGGCGCCCGTCCAGGCTAAACGAGGCTAGAAACTTTTTTCATTTTGAATTCTATTTCAACCAGGATTCTTCCATTTGGGCCATTATTTGCACGAATTCTAGAGACTTTTGGGAATCTTGGAAAGTAATATAAATATCAACTATATTCTTTTATGAGATTTAATTCTTTTTCCGGGAAAGTGGCAGTTCCGGCAATGGCACTGGTCATGGAAATCAAGCTTGTGGCAATGAGTCAATTGCCATTCTTAAACAATTTAAGCAATAAAAGCTTTAATTTTTTCTGCATCTAACAACGTATTTATGCTTATTTATAGAACAAAATTGCCACACTAAAATGTGCAATTTTTCCTCTCTTGCTACTAAATTCCAACCGGAAACGCATTTCTTCACACGCAGTCCAGAAAATGACCTCTTGCAGGAAAAGTATTAATTATTGTTGGTAAATTTCGTTGCAGAAAATGTATATTCTTTTCTAAGATAATTTTCTTTACATGTAACCTCTCTCTTAATTTCAAAGCAACCCGCAAAATGAACTAGCCTTCGAAAGTGTACCAAATTGCCCAACCTCTCTTAATCTCGCACACTCTCAAGTGTGACGTTTAATCGTTTATTTTGACTAATATTATGTTAAGGATCCCTTACGTGGCTAAACCTGGAAGATCCTTCCTCAACGGCGAGCTAGAGATGCCTGCGATTCAGGGTACTTCTCAGAGATAAGGTTTAAATCGCATTTAATGTGTGTGGTTATTTGTAGAAGTGCCAAAATTTGCACACAGTTGCGTGTGTATTCTTGCTTATAATTTTTCAAAGATGGCTAGTTGTAACTGGAATTGTTATGCGAATAGTCCAAATGAGAATTAACTTCAGACCTCAAACTCCTTCGAAACCGACATATCCCAACTTTCTCTATGAAATTGTCTCGAAATTTTTTTATTTTTATTTTTATGATCTTAAAAAGAATTAAATCTCATAAAAAGTAATACAAACCAAACATGCTTTCGGTAGTCTTAAAACAGCGTATCCTCAAAATAAAAAATTGAAAATATACTCAAAATTGAAAAGGGAAACGCAAACCAAACGGAACATAAGATCACATGAAATTAATGATATGATGGAAGATCACCTTGACAAATGCATATATTTATGTTGAATCCCAACTATAGGTAAAATACATGTATAAAATGGGCATTTCTACCAAGAAAATAGAAAAGGTGAAACGACGATTAGCCTTAAACAACACACCAATCATCATTTGACATTTCTCAAGATCATAAGCTTGAAATCAACTGAAAAATCCATCATATGAAGCTTTTTTTCTCTTGAAAATTGTCTAGCACATTTTATATTCTATATACTATTCTCATGTATGAATAAAAACTTTCGAGAGCATATCATATTGCATGTGTCTTTATATGGATGTGGACCAGATGGAGATGGGTGGGGCCAGGGTGCGGTGGGTGGATGGGGGATAATGAGAATAGAATAGTAGTAGACACTATAGTTCCATACCAAACAAAGTTTTATGGCATGTACCAAATACCCAACAAAGAATATGGACTTTAGTGTAGAGGAAGGAGTTTGTCACTCTCACACTGACCATCATCTAATGCAGATGCCAATTAATTAGTGCAGCAACAAAATTGTTGTCACAATCTATGATTCGACGTCATTCGATAGTCTAGATGATTCATTATGAAAAGATAAAAACATAACCATCTTCTTTAATCTTTATTTATATCATAGCAAGTCGTGTTAAATTTCGTATATACTATCAAATCGTCATCCCAAAAAATATTTTCAGATTTTAAAAGTATTCTGAAGTGATTTTTACGGGTGAAATATGTACTTGTCCGAAGTTGACAATTATATGTGTTGTATACACGTACGAAGGGTGTATATATCTAATTCGTCAATCGTGTCACTTGTTATACCAAAGAAAACATGACGAATAGTGTGTCTTCGTCCACTAACTGAGTACAGAAATAGTTGTGAACATACTCCACTCTCCACAGCACTAACAATCAAGAGCAGAGCATCCAAACACACCCGAGCAACAATTTTATCGAATCCACACAACTCGACCAATAATT